TTGTAATAATAATTTTCTTTTTTTTTTTTTTTTTTTTTTTTTTTTTTTTTTTTTTGTTTATTTTCTTTTTGTTTATTTTTTTTGGTCAAAAAAAAAAAAAAAAAAGGTTATACTTACCTGCATTAGTTTTGCTTTACTATAATCCTTGATATATCCTCTCCAAATGTCCTTATCTAATGTAATATTGGTTGTAAATCCAATCTTACGAAAGAAACCGATGGCACTTTCATCTGCGTAAACCAGAATATATTTGATCTTGACCACATCCCTCATGAAATACTTTAAACGATTCATCAAACGTCTACCATATCCCTTATCTTGATAATCTCCATTAACAGCAAAGAAAACGATTTCAATAAAGTTCCTTTCCGTAAATGGACGATAGCAAATCCCACCAATAACTTTATTGGGCTCTTTAACGATCACCAAATTGTAATGATTATGATTATACACAACACGAGCGATATACTCTGCTGGCATCTTTGGTAATGCGGTAGAAATCAATTCCTTAACGCTCGTAAGTAAAAACAAATTCTCCCGTGAACCGTCATTGTTAATGATTCTCCATCGAATGTCTCCTTCCTGTTCTTCCGTAAATATGAGCCTATGATCAAATTTATTGTTTCTTTCATTAAGATTCAAATCTTTTTCAACTGGTTCCTTGTTACATATTATTCCATGATAATGTCTAGTGTGATTCATGGTAGATGTCATTTGATCTCTCATTTTTTGAACAAATTTATCCACATACTCAAAGTCTAATAATTTCCCTTTCTTATCTAAATATTCGTCGATTTGAATGGCAATATTCAATAATTTAAAAAAGTCTTCACCATAAATGTCATTAACATTTCCATGAATCCCTAATTTGTGACCACAAATGCACAAATCGATTCGTCCAGAACCATTAACAACAGAATTGGGTCGCCATCCTTTGCAAGAGCACAGAAATTGTGAAGAGTCCGGTGAATGTCCCTTACATGCCATATATCTTCCAATCTTCATATGCCTTTGATAATTAGACAATGAATGGACAGGAGTGCGAGTTGTTGGATAACTTGTACTGGTTCTCATTTTTCGAAAGTGAATGATCGTGATATCAACGGTCAAAGGGAATAAATCAAAAAAAAAAAAAAAAAAAAAAAAAAAAAAAATTGCACACGTATATACATATATATATTACTAATCAAGATTCTTAATCTTCTTAATCGGTAATGTACAATACGTATTCGCGTAAAAATTTAGCAAAATTGTAAATCGCACTTCTCGAGGAAAAGTGGCAATTATCATGCCGCAGTAACGCTGATAATGAACATGTGACGATTGGGCGTCTAATTTTCTGATCATACAAGGTAAAAATAGTAATACAAACCATCCAAATAAAGAAATATTGCACCTGCTATTCATATTTTATACATTTTATACAATTATTTTTCGAATTGGCTTATTACATCAAAATGACTTTGAATATTATAATAAAAAGTAATGATAGTATTTATGCTTGTAAAAATGGACCGAGTGGTGATCTCGCAACTACATCAGGAAATTGTTGATTAAGGGCTTTTATGAGATCTATTAATTCCTGACGCGTATGGTCTTTTAATTGGTCTTCAGGCGGTGAAAGAACTTGAGCAAATATTTTTAAAAAGTCTGGAATGTGATTCAACACCTAAAATAATTCAATTACATTTAATAAATTATAGACTATTTAAGGTTCAAAAAGTATGGGTAGTACTTACAAAAGAATTATTTGCACGGAAAAGGTAAAATATGCATTTAAAAACAGGTTCGTTCTCCTCATAATCTTGCTTTAATGGTAAGGTATCCATTATTACATCTAACACCTGTATGAGAATATTCATAGAATTACGATTATAATGATTTAATACTCGAAAATGAGTCCGAAAATAAGACATCAATATACCTGATCGATCGGAATGGCTTGAGGACATTTTATTATCATTCGACATACTGCTCCACACGCGTTATCGGTAACATTTAATTCCGATTTCCCGTTAAACAGCGGATGGAGTCGTGATAGAATTATGTTATATTGGCTAAATTACAATTTAGATTAAAAGTTAACAGAGTCATAAGTCATACGGTAATGAACCACCAAAAAAAAAAGGAAATTAAACCTGCTAATATCGATTGTAGTATATTCACAAAGAACGCCAATCGCGAAGGCGGAATTACTTCTTACTTCTTCCTCTTCATCACCCAAGGCTTTAAGATATAATGACAATAGTTGCTACGAATAAAAATAAACTTTAACATCTTTTTCGAGGCTTATTATAATTGAGAAAGTATCATTATGCCCACTTCAGTGAATTCCGAAATGCCAGACTTTAGGCCAACAGTTGATTCACCTAAGCATCCGATAGCCATGGATCTATCAGATATTGGTTTTGATTTTTTCTAAATTCATAAAAAAAAAAATATACTAAATATCTGGTTAAAAATACAAGTGAATAAATATGAATCGAATTTATAACATACGTAATACTTGGTAATATGTGGAAGGTACACTTTGAAATAAGAAGCGAAACCGGGGCCAAGAACTAATGCCAACGCGGAAACAAGATCCGATGCCTGGCTAATTAAAAGTGCATCATATTCTGCTTCTTCATCCTCATCTACTAATCCTTCTTCGTCATCATTCTCAAGTTGGCATACGGATTTTTTCTCATAAATATTGAGTATATTTTGAGCAATTTGATCAATATCTTTATTAAATATTAATATGGCATTAGTTAGTATGATTGTTAATGAAATTCCTTTATAGCGTAAATGTATTATGATAATAATAGCATACAATCTGCAACAATTGCGGGTCCGCAATGCTTGAGCGCCTCAATAAATTCTTGACATAGTTGCACCATTACAATTCTATATTAAAGATGGTTTCAGTGAGTAAATGCGTGATAGAAGGCGTTCAAGAGCAAATGTTCATAAATGATAATCAGTATTATATAGTTCATCTCATGTTTATATCAAAATGAGCTGGGTAAACTGTTCTCATCATATCAAAAATTATCAATTTGACTGTCTCGTAAATTAACTTACTTGCTTTCTTCGTCGCCCATTATTGATAATATCACTGGCATTGTAGTTGTTATCATACTTTGAACATTTTCATGTACAGGTACTTTCTAAATATAGTAAGGTTAAAAATATAATTAAAATATTCTTCTTTGTGGTTTGAAATATATATATTTTTTTAAAAAAAAAATGTAAATCGTACCACAGGTAAACCCGCTTCCCACTGAGTTGGATTCGACATACTGTAAAATGTTATCAGAAAGCTGACTAAGGATGATATTACTGATTTTCTCACCCCCTCTGAATGATGGTTGGAAAGTTTCACCAATTCTGATATTGATGCTTCAACGTATGAAAGGAAATTAGATCTTGTGTTTGCAAAGATCTCCCCAATGACATCAGCTGCTATTTCTTTCTCATCGACAATGGCAGAATTGATAGTAAATTCTGCATCATCATCGTCGTCGTCATCAACATCCACATCTGTTGAAAGATTTTCTTCAGCTACATAATTTTTTTAATTAATTGACTTTGTAAGAAGGTGTATTATAAGCATATACATGTTGCAAGAATAAATATATACCATCAAGCGTAAATGGGTCAAATTCTTCCATTTGACAACTTTTTAATAATTGAGGCATAATCGTGCCTAAATAGACACTGAATTCTTCCTTAAACACACGTGCCATTACAGCAAACAAGCAATAACTACATTCGCGAAGGCGTGCGTTATCTAGACTTGTGCCTTCGATTGCTAATCGCATAATGTCATTGACATGTGGCTAAGAAATGTTTACATCGTTATTACGTTACAGTTTTTTTTTTGGAATATATGTACTGTATTTATTTTACCTGAATTAATTCCTTGCCTACCGCTTCGGCAACTGAACCTACGGTGTCTGTGGCTATTCCCCGTAAAAGTACATCCTCGTTGTTCTTGTTCAATGTCATTAGCATCAGTAATCTGCTAATTACTACAGGAAAATATTTGCTAAATTCCTAATTAAATACACATAGAAATTAAAAAATGTTATTTGAAATCATTCATAAGATATTTGAGAGGATAGCTTACACTGCCAGCCGCATGAGCAGCGCTCCCAATAGCTGCTGTAACCGTGGCCTTTACTTCATTGGGACCATTATCTAATAATAGCAACAACCTTTCCATCAAAGTAGGCAAGTAAAGCAGAATTTCATTATCCAATCCTTCCAAAATAGCATCAAGTGCGTTACATGCTTGCTTTGGAATTTCAGTGTTCGGGTCATTCATAAGATCGAATAGCAAAGGTAATAATGTAGCATGATTTGCCGCTATCTCTTGATCCAATTCCTCTAAATGTAATAAAATTAAGTGGGTTAAACAATCAAGACAAGTTTCTGTTTTAAAATAGTATTACCAACCTGCTAAACATCCTAGTGCAATGCATGCACCTCTACGAACGATCGTTTCCGGGTCACGCAAGCCATTACATACGAGTGGTAACAATTCATTAAATTTCGGACGCATATAATCGGAACATCCTTCAATGAGAACCTTTTTCATAAGTCAAATAAATATTTATAATCAAGATGGATTTATATTAAATTGTAAATTATATCAAAAAAAATAAAAAGTACCGCAAAAGCCATCATTCCAGCTTTTCTGAATTTCGGATCATGATTTTGAACATACGTTACTACGTTTTCCATGACAACCGGAAAAACTTGTTGAGGCGGTAATTTGGTGGACAAAGAATTAATAACCCTAAAAGCCATCTGTTAATAATGTAAATTGTTAGTTTAGTTCATTAAATAATTTGAATAGTACGAATATATTAATTACTCTGGAAGGTGATTCGTCATCTTGATCATCAGGATCATCTTCAACTCCAATAGGCATCAATTGTTGAATTATTGGACCCACAAGTTTTAACCTTTGAATTTTTGATTTCTTGCTGTCAATGCAATGATGGAATGAAATGAATTCGATTATTACTCACTAGCATTTTTAGATATATGTTAATTCTTACTAATTGATAACCCAGATAAGAAATTGCAAAGACATCACGCGAACTGAATCGTCATATTTATTGTTACGTGACACTATTAAAACAAATTCAATAAGCTGTTGTAAATGATTGGATAAAAGTGGTATTTCCTGTGTCGTAATAAATTGATGAAATCGAGTGAATGTAAGCGAAAATTATACAAACTCCTTTTCAACGTAGAAATAATATATCTTACAAAGAACTGAGCATACCAATAATAAAAGTCCATCAAATAATTCGAATCCTTTGATGGCCGAATCACTATCGCCTGCTTCCAAACATTGTTGAATTACATTGACCATTGAGGGGATCAGATCGCGAAATAATTGCTGATGAATTACATTTAACGAAATAAACATGAGGTTATTTATATTATATTAATATGGGTCACGTTTATAAATGAAGAGAACAACAACGACATACTATTTCTTCTTTATTATCAGCTTCAATAATTTCAGCAACTTTCCCTAGAGCTCTGGATAGAAATTAGGTTATAAATTTAATTTTTAATTATCAAAACCGTCAGTTAAAATTCAAAAAAAAAAAGCGACCTACTGCAATGTAGTTACGCGCACAACTTTACTTTCCGGATCGTTAAGAGCTGCGCCAAACAACTCAAAGAGTTGCCTTAAATTATCCTGAAATGCTTCTATAATCACCTCAAATAAAGTATACAGGACAAATATTCCAACCTAAAACATAATTAATATATATAAATTGCATGTTATAAGAATAGCCTCAAGTGAATTTCTTACCTCCCGGTGTCCAGCATCAGGACTTTGACAGCATTGATACAAAAATTGAAGTAGATCATTCCACGCGCCAGCTGGTATTTCGATTTTAGCAACAGATGAGATTACACGCGCAGTAGCATGTCGTACAAGCTCACTACAAAAAATACAATATTAAAGAAACAACCTTAAATATAAAAATATGCACATCGCGTAATTTCATAAGCTTACTGAGGTTCCCGTAAAATAACTTCGAGTAATTGGTTCTTGATAGCTGCTTGCGTATTTAAATCAATCTTTGACCACCATTTCGTTGATCTTTTTCTTAATTCAACAGCTGCAAGTTGTCGTACCTAAGCAATTGTAAATAATTTTTTAATTAAAATATACAAATTTAATACAAAAAAAAAAAAAAAAAATTGATTACAAACCTGCCAATGTGTAGATGATGATAAAATTTGTACAAGTGCAGCAACACAATTAACAGAGCTGTAAAAATTATTATTTAAAGTAGAAGTAGCCTTTTAAAAAAATTTGTAAATACGCGTGATTAGTAAAAGGAAAAAAAGAAATAGGTAATTAGTAACCTTGTGAAAACAAATAATGTTTATTAAGGTTGTCACGAGCGTACCGTTCTTATTCTTGCGGTATCAGTATCTCCAGAGACCAATTGGTTAAGAAGTTCTTCTAATCTCGGAACAAACTCTTGATACTATATATTATACGCGTAATAATAGGTGTATATCTAAAATTACTTAAGTGACAAAATATAGCACGATATATTAATCGACACAAACCTCCATTTTTAATAGATATAATTAAATATTCACAAGCAATCTTCGAAGTAAAATGAGTAAAAAGTAACTTTCTGATAAAAAAAAGAAGGAAAAAAAAAAAAAAAAAAAAAAAACTTTTTTTTTATTGATAAATCTCGATCGCCAAAATTTTATGTAGATCGATCAAATAATTTAACAATTTTCCATTTTCATAAGTTATTCGAGTAATTCATATTTGTCACAAAATAGCCATCACATCCTTAGATTTAGGGTTAGGCCAGGGTTTAGGGATTATGCATAACGCGCAAAAATCACGTGATCAAAGAATTTCAGGCCGCCATTTTGTGAACTTGCCAATGTATCTCATCGGTGATTTTTCCGATTAATCTATGCCATTTAAGGAAGGTTCAATTCGACATGACAAAATGTGTAAGAATTAAAAAAACCGCTTTTTTATTCATTTTTTCATTTGCTTATCTCTTTGATCTATAATGTCTGGGATAATATCCGTTGAAATATCTGATGCTGTTCCGCCCAACCTTTTGATAACCAATTTGGGTCTTGTTCGATGTACATGATCATAAACGCACTCTAAACCTGGTTTCACATCATCAAACGTTGATGGTCTGCCATACTTTTCATCCCAAGCCTGAATTAATTGTAAACAAAATTCAGTGCCACAAGTTCGTTGTAATTTAATTTTGCACTCTTCACATTGAATAAATAATAAATTGCAAGTTTTATTCCTGCAATTCGTGTGAGTGTCACATGGTTTGCCGCACGTGTGACATTGAGAAATGATGTCATTTGTAATTGGTTCGCCAAGTCGCTTATCGAAAGTAAAATTGCGACCTTTATATAAGGAAGTCACTGATGGATTGTCCTTAACAAACCGTCCATATGCTGTAATTCCCCCCTTTAGCATGTTAACTGATTTAAAACCTTTAGAAAGTAATATGGACCCCGCCTTAGAACATCGAATGCCACCTGTTTGAACGCGACACCGTAATTTTTATGCACATAAATTCAAATGTGTATCAAGATAACTAATTAGTATCATTAAACAATATGATAGATTTATTTTTCGAAATAGAAATAGATTCATTAGTTTCGTATTTCGTACCGGTACAATACATATAAATTTCTTCGTTTTGTTTTCCCTCGCATATTTCGTTCATGACCTTGATACTATCACGGAAAGTATCCACATCTAGTCGTATTGAATTCTCAAAATAACCAATCTCGCTGCGAAAATTTGAAAAATAAAGTTCAATCTAAAAGCAGAAATAACAAGATATGATTCAAGAAATATTCGTGCACTTGCCTCTCATAATGATTTCTCATATCTATTAGGGTGAGGGATCCTTTGGCATTGGATAATGCTTTGTGCCATTCTTCTGGTACAAGGTGTTTTGGTTGCTTGGAAAGATCATATAAATCGGATTCTAATCCATCTGCGACAATCTTACAGATTAAATAATTAATTCAGAAGCCTAAATTTAAACGAGTGCTTATATAGAAAGATCTTTACTTAAATTTTTCTTTATTATTATTATTTTTTTTTTTATGCATCTTTCGTCAATACATCCACACAAACCTTGTTCCTAACTTTAACATGTAATTTTCTAAATGCCTTTACATGATATGTTGAGAAATTAAACTCCAAGTCATTTAAATTTAATACTTCTTCACAATATTTTCTTAATTCTTCTAACTTTTCTTCAGGGCAAGAAACCTGCGCATTTATTCCTTCGGAACCAATATAAATTCTTCCAACTATCCCCATTTCTTCAAGACGACTTAACATATTTTCTCGCAATTCTTGGAGAGAGGTCTGAAAATTCCAATTAAAGGAATAGAATGAAAATGTCTTCCATTCAATTGGCGTTTCTTTAGGTTCTATTGCAAAATTAGTATTACTAGTTGTATAAAAACGATAAGATCCATATTTGCAAAATAATCGACTGCTAAAATCAAAAGTTAAAGAGTATCTTTTATTAAATATAAGTGATAAATTTGGTCTAGAATTAAGCTTATCTAGTGTGATATTTTTGTGTTTTGCAAGGAAATTAAATGAAAAAAGATGAAATTGACGAACACGAAAATATTGTAAACTTCGAGAAATATAAAAATTCATTCTTTCGAATATGAAAAATAATAATCATAGAAAGAGATCCTGCAATTCTAATTAGCTGATAACGATAAAACTGATCAGGATAATAATAATTGCTGCGTATATTTCACGTGACATTACTTGTGACACCTTTTTCTTGTTCATAATTTCACGCGCATGTGATTTTTCCCTGCCATTTTAAAATCTTCTGGTTTAGAAATTAACAGAATTCATGTGAGCGTGTATGATCACCAGTCAATTCTTCCTTGAAATAAATCTATTGCATAATAAATAGAACGCAAAAAAAGTTGTTCATGACAATGTAAAAAACTTATCCGTCCCCTGGATGAAATCCAAGGCTGCCCCAACTTTACAGATCCTTTAAAGTTGGAACACTCATTTTCTCAACATTTCTTTTATTGTTTACTTCTAATATTTCTGCATTTTTCTTTTGCTTGATTTCATAATTGTCATTGCCATAATTTTAATTACATTTTCATGTTGCAATCCTTCGGAATTGATGATATCCGTTTTCATCGCGACCATCTCTAACGAGAAAGCGCTTGGTTGTAAAGTTATCCAACCCCTTCTTGGAGTAACGATCAACGAAATATCGTAGAACTCGAGGTGTTAATTGACGATGGAAAGAAATCATTTTAAAGACTTAAAAGTTTTACAAATTTTTGCTTCGTCAATATATGAAGAAGTTACTTCATTACATTGAACGCGTTTACATTTTATAAATTTCACTTTTTTTAGCTTGAAATTTTTACCGATTATATTCAACATAAGTATTACGTTAAAACCGAGCAAGTTATTAACGAGAGATAGTTACATAACTTCCGCGTTCTAAATAGTAGAAACAAGACATACTAGCAAGGTTTTACACTTCTCACGCAAAGATGAAATTCTAACTTTCTCGCAAGGGAATGAGATTCTAATTTCTGATTGGTCTGTTTATCATCAAAGCTTTAAATGATCGACAAATATAGTATAACGCTTTATTGTAAATATTGATTATATTACCTACCTGCGCATTTTATTCCTTCTTCAGAACCAATATAATAAATTCTCCCATGAAAACATTCTAATTAAAAGAATAGAATGAAAAAGTCTTCCATTAGGTTCTAATGCAAAATTAGTATTACTAGCTGTATAAAAACGATAAGGTTCATATTTGCAAAAAAAAATCGACCGCTAATATCAAACATAAGGGATAAATTAAGCTTGTATAGTGTGATATTTTTTTGTCTTGCAAGGAAACTAAATGAAACAAAGCGAGATTGACGAACACGAAAAAAAGTTGTATAATTCATTTTTTTCGAATATGATTAAAATTTTTAGATCTAGAAATTATAATTTTTGTATCACTAAATTAATCCAAAAAAATTTTAATTAACGCCCATCCATATAAGATAATGAATTGGGCTAGTTTGATTATTTTTTTTTAACCGAAATAAAAAAATTGATTGTTTTCTTTCATTTTTATTTATAATTAATTATATAAAGTATAAAGATGACTTCTTTACCACCTCTTGAACCTACAATATCACAATTACATACACTTAGTGCGGAAAGTCTTATCTATGAAAAGCAACGTTTAGAAAATTCTATATTTCATTTAAATAGATCGAATGAAGACATGAAAGAATTTGATGAGAATGATAAAGATTTTCAATTGGCAATAAAGGAGAATGAAGATCTTATCGCAAGGTAATAATTATAAAAACCATTTTAATAAATCTAAAAATACTCAAGTACTTAATTGTCAAAGGAATCGTGAAAAGATCAAGATAATCCAGGATTTGTTGAAGGAAAGGCAGCAGCAAAATGGCAATACTTGTATAAGTGCCGAAAGTCTTGTACAGAATGTGACCAATTCAAATTCAATTCAGCAAGCAGTTAATACACAACAAGAAACATTGTCAACAACAACCGATATACAAATAGATGACAATACCTTTAACAACACACAAGATGAGTCCGAAGATGGAATTTATCTATAAATTCATTATCTATAATTTAAAGATCGAATGTAATAACTTTTTAAAATATTTGATTTTTTGAATTTAAATCTATGAGTATTTTGATATTTACAAAATTTTCTTGAAAGGTCAAATCGGTTTGTTTATTTGTGGAGTCTGACTGTCGTTTATCAAATTCTTCAGCGATATATTAACATATTGATAAGTAATGGAAATTAAAACCAAACCCATCTCCTGTAGCTGTTGAGTCACGCTACTGTTTCAGATTAAAAGATTTTGCATAATCCAATCAATCCTTAAATAAAAACTTTGATCTCAAATTCACGTCGCCGGTTTCTTTACTAAAATTCAGATGACCTCGTTTTAAGAAATATAATAGTTACTAGATATATCAAAAATCTATATATAAGATGAGCTTTAAAATCACATTAAGGCAAAAAAAAAATTTTTTGTGAATAAAAAGTACAAAAGGCATTTATTTTTATTTCTTATAAATTTATGAAAACGTGATTATTTAGATTATATGAATCTACTTAAAATGTATCCGGGTATATATATCTTATAAACGTGAATTGTCATTAATTATGTGTCACTTATAATTTTATGTGACCCGGCAATTAAATCCGGTTTTCGGGTCTCCCTTGCTCTAACTCATGGCGGACGCTTGATTATGTTTGGGGAAGTATCCGAAAAAAAATAAAAAATGATTTTATATGGCGTCACTTTTTGGAATTAATTTTTTCCGAGATCGCAATCAAATTTGATTTTATTTATGGAAACTCGAAAATATTTAAAAATGCCCACTTCTTAAACTTTTTGCACAAAGCACGTTATTCAACTTTCACGTATTTTTCAGATATTTCTTCTTTGGCGTTAGGTGACGAAATGAAGTTGGTTTTTCAATATAGGACGTTGACTAACAATTCGACCAATTAAATTTAAGCTACAATATTATTTCTCACCACCCCTAATTTTTTATCTTCCCCTTTTCTGTTCACCCCATTTCGCGAATACAGTTTTTTCGCAAGACATACTTTTTTTGTGTCCCATACTTCATTTTTTTTCCTCGTGAATATAATCCTTAAGTTCCTTTGAAAAAACAGCTCTACTGATTCCGTATGAGGTTCCGGTTATGATCCTTTACAGTCAATAAACCTTTGACGGACAGAAAATAGTCAAACTTCAGAAGAGATAAATATTACTTATTTCCCGCGTTGCGGGAATATAAGAGAGGTAAATACCCGGTAAGATGGGGCCCCAGCTGATTGGTTTACCGAATTATTTCCTCGTAATGGGAAATAAGTGAGTTATCCATCGTTTATACTTGCTCGTACCCCACAACAAAAAAATTAGAAATAAGATTATGATGAGATTCACAATCATAATTGTCAAAATAAATTATTAGAGTCGTAAATTTCATATCATAGATGGGGAAATAATCATGCGATGGAAATAATCACTTAAATAAAATTTACTGATTATCTCAAGGGATAACAAGTCATAAAAACACTACTGGTGCGATCATATAATAACGTGAGATACCTAGATACAAACGCCCAGAAGAACAGAACTGGGAAAACCAACCGTCAAGAGGGAAACCTGTAAAATTAGTAAAGTTTTATTTCGTAATAATAAAGTATAATAAATTGGAATTGATGGTAGATTTTGTCGGATGAAATAGGTGGGTAAAAAAATAAGCGACAAATGTGTCGGATGGGTAAAGGTAGGATATGTAGTAACCAGCGTTGGCCACCTTTATAAGTCCAGTTATTTTTGACTGGACTTGGATTATAAGTCCAGTTACTGGGATTATGGCCAACACTGGTAGTAACCTATCATGTAACTTGGGTATTATTGGAAAAATCGCGAAACTTTGATTCAAAGTAGGATTTTTACTTTATTCAAAAGATACTAAAATTTTGACAAACGAAGGATTATCAATAAAAGTTTTCTCAAATTTTTTACTATAAAGGCGTTATTATTGATTTGGATTTTAGGGACGTTTTCAAAGTTTACAAAGTTAAGCGTTGCATTAACTTTGAAAAGTTTGAAAGGTTTCTCATATTATTAATTAGTTCATGAATCTTGATTCAACGATAACCAATAATTGAGAGATTAAATTATATATATATTAATTTATTTATTTTAATTTTAATATTTTGTATCTAGTGTGATCTTGACACCCATGCTCGCAAGTTCCGTTGCAAGGTATCTAAAAGCAAAAGGAATTTTAATTAAAGTAATATATTGCGCCGTATCACAAACTTTACATATAATATGATGCTTCTTGTATTTAACATCGTTTCTTGTTTCATGTTCTTTAACTATCAAAGCCGTAAATATAGAACCACATTTTGCACATAGATGACACTGATAAGTTAGATAGATAAAGATGAATTGATTCAGTTTATTTTTATACAAACATAATAATAATAAATAAGTAAAACCTACCTGTGAATAATCCGAGCAATTCATTAAACGATCCTGAAGGCAAAAACTCATTCCGTGAGCCAACAAAGCGTCGCGTTCCATCTCTCCAAATCTAACACCACCACTTCTCTTACGCCCACCAATAGGTTGCATTGTAAGGTTATGAACAGGTCCGGTGGATCTCACTTGCCACTTATCGGAAACCATGTGTCGTAACCGTTGATAATATACGACCCCAATGTATATGTCGGCTTTAAATTCCTCCCCGGTAGCACCGCTGTACAAAGGTTCGTTACCATGATAATTATACCCCGCACGTCTAAGCTGTTCACCGAAATAATCAATCGCCGTGTCATTTTCGTTAAATTTGAATGGAGTACAATCTTGCGCAACACCAAATAAAGCTCCAGCCTTTCCCGCCAAGCTCTCAACAAACATCCCAATTGTCATGCGAGAGGGGAACGCGTGTGGGTTGATAATGATATCGGGTTGCATTCCGCTCTCAGTAAAGGGCATGTTTATCTGAGGCCACAATTGTGAAAGGATACCTTTCTGCCCATGCCGGGAAGAAAACTTGTCGCCAATAACTGGAGGTCGTGGGATCCTAAGTTTAATATGAATCTTTTGAACCTCTTCTTTACCGGCATCATCTCCAATTAATCGAACTTCTTCCACATATGCATCCTCTAACCCTTTATAATTTTTACTCTTTGTGGTTTTGGTCGTGTCATCGTAATAAGCGCACAAGGGGTCACCATTTGTCAATTTAACTCCAATGAAAGGCAAACCATCCTTATCAAGTTTTTCACGCCATGCTGGGGGTGCATCCTTTTCAAAACCAAAATGATATTTAATTGGTTCACCGGTCGTCCGATAATCCCCGAGATCGATGACTTCCGACTTGTAGATCGTACCATACGCAAATCCACGTTCATGTGATGACTTGTTAATAATCATGGCGTCTTCCATATCGTATCCTTTTTGATTCAAGTTGTATTTAATTTCTTTTGCAGCGCCATAAATCGACAATATTGAATATGAAAGAAAAAAAAAAAAAAAAAATACCAGTGTACGAAATTACAGCCACGATCGCATTTGTGCCATTGGGAAATCCGTCCAGACCAAGAATATTGTGAAGTTCAGGCCGAACAATTGGAGTTTGACCTGTCTGCAGCCGATACAGTTTGTTGTCCGTTCGGTACCTTAGAGACGTCGCCGGCGTACCCATGGTTTGCTTGGCCATCTTTTAAAAGCATATTTATAGAATGAATATTAAAAATAAAAGATGTATCTAAAATAAAATTGTAAAATTTTACCTGACATTGATACATATTACGAGGACTTTGGTTGTAATCGGAAAATGGCGTAAGATTCGCAAGAATACTCAACATATTTGTCGGCGCAAATTCTTGATGTGTTGACACACCATTGATAACATCCTCATCCAGACAAGCGATATCCATATATACCTTCATTTCGGGGGATAAAATATTTAACAAGCTGTAAATCCCGTGCACGACAATATTTATAAAACTACTAAATGAATTTACCTGTTCATAGGATCCAACCATATCAGTTTTGTTGTTGAAAAGGTACTTGACAGGACGCATCATGCGTGATGGAGAGGAGAATAAATAAATCCCGGGATATTGTCCTCCGTTAGAAGGCGGGACGTATCCAATCTCGAGATCCAAAGGAACCTACAAATCAATACAACATTGAAGGAAGTGCCGATAATGATCTGATGCAAAAATAAAACGGGAACATACGGGATTGGTTATGTCAAATTTTCGTTTTCTCAACTCATTTGATATTGCTTTTGCTTGCTCACTATCACACCACCCGATTATTTTTCCGTCTAATTGCACGCAAATCAACGAACCATCGGAGCTTACTTCCGTCGTTACATTCTTGGAAACTCCTATTTCTGCTAAAATTTCGGGAATCTTGTCAACTTTCAGCCTTTCCGTGACAATTCTACATGTGTGAGAAAGGTGATTAAGTAATCCACAAGGTGTGCCGTCCGGCGTATGAACCGGACAAAGGAATCCTAACCGAACAATTAATTTAAAATTTTTAAAGGCAAAGTGCAATTATTTAAAAAATACACTTTAATTCATTACCCCATGATTCGGGCAATAATTTTCTGACAGTGGTCGTCTTTAATGTGGTGAAGAATGATCCACGATGTACACATCGGAAATGTGAAATAAAACGATAAAAGTTAAGTTTCTCGGCAACTATCGTGTATCCAGTGGTCTACGAAAAAAATCTTTCAAGTTTAATTTGTAATCTACCTGGGCATAATTTGATAACTCATTAAAATCATAAAGACCTGCATCAAATCCAATCCGGTATTTGAAACAAGGTTTCCGGTGGCAAGAAAATAAGACAACTTTTGACCAACGTTATTATTAGTGACCTTTGCGAAAAGGTGATTCATGTATTTTTCTAGAAAATCAAGTCATACTTAAGACGCGCGAATTTAAATGATAAATGGCAAAAATGTCTTACACGTACTTTCATTAAAATTCACTTTTCTTTTTGCATTAATATCCATAGATACGACAGCACGAAATCCATTAAGAACATCAAAAAGTTTCTCTTTTATGATCATTCCGTAAAGATAACCTCCTAAAAGGATTTCCTGATTCTGTTGGGAATCAGGATTATCTTGACAACATTCCCCTGCGACTAATGAGTATAGTTTACGGATCATGAACCTTTTAATAACATAACAGAGATTAACGTGATTATACTGTTTATAAAAATTCAAAAATTTTCATTACTTACGTCAAGAGATTAAACTTATCCTTCTTCGTCCTAAGGTGAACCAGGATGACTTTATTCAAGATGAGATCTCCCACTTGTTTATTGGTGTAATAAGGTGGTGGTGAGAACGTGATACGAAACTTTTCGCCTAGTAAAGATGTGCATTGTTCTCGTGATTGAACATTAAATAATTTAAAATTGTGAAGCATAAGTTCCACGCGATCCGTTAAAAATGTGTTTGTATGTTCTCCTTGAACCAGCGTATCATATATTCCTTTATCCGAAACTTCAATAAGAGACTGTAAAAATACGAAAACTTAATTAGATAATCAAATCTACCTTTCACTTCTCTTTAGGAAAATTAAATTTTACCTTCATAACCAATATGACCGGGACCATAAATTCCTGTTTTTTCCAACTAAACCGTATCATACAACCACCATTTTTTAAATAATGTAAGGTATTTGTTACGGTTGATTGATCAAGTTTCGCGCAACGGATCTGTACACCATACTCCGTATAATCTTCACCACGATTAGTAAACGATGGACGGATAAGCGCCATCACGTGATTACGTCTTGGGATTAATAGGAGACGAATAACCTTTTCTATTCCATTCACTATGAAATACCCGCCCATTTCTTCGGATTCTTCATGATGTTGTATAAGTTGTCGCGAATACAAATTATATAGATTACACCTATTTGACTAATACGAGTCATGAGTTCAACGGAATTCGTGAATCAAAAAAAAAAAAAAAGAACTACGAGAACAAATTGAATCACATTACTTTAACCATGATGGGTATCATACCCATAAATTTAGCTTCCATATTAACGGGGCCATCGTTTACTTACCAACAAAATTTCGCGGTCATTTTCCCTGCATACGTGGTCAACCTTTCTCGACACTTTTAACGAAACGAGAGCATTTCTTTTAATATCAAACTTTATTTAGGGTAAACCAATTTTTTTTTTTGTTTCTCTTTTACCTCGGTGGGATAAATTTGTCTCGATTTTGCGAGACGAACATTTTCAGATAAGAGTGGTTTTGCAATCATAACATCGTCAATCCATACTTCAAACAAATAAATAGGGGAAAAGAAAGAAAAACAATAAAATTCATCATTCAAAAAGGTTTTTTTTTTACTTTTTAAAAAGAATAACTTTTTTTTTATTTAAAATACTTGTAAGTTTATTTCCACTTTCGGGGCTATTGTTAGGAACGTCAAAAATCTCCAGAGCGCCAATATCATCAATAGCAAGGTGTAAGATCCCTTTACCAGCAGGTTCAAGTAAGGAATTAAATGATTCGATATGAGGCTTGACCAATTTTTGTAATTCTGGATAACCAAATTTATCTGAACTTGGATTAAGAAATAAATTTTCTCGTTCTAATGTGTTGAATGTTGACGGCATTTCTACAGATCACAAGTTCAATTTTTTTTTAAAAAAACAAAAAAAGGAAAGAATATATAGAGAGAGATCAGATTTGTTAGATTTGTTAAAAAAAAAATAAAATTTTTCCGATAAAAAAATATTTGATTTCACGTGATTGGTAGATCGGAAATTAAGACATTACTTGATTTGGGCTTGTCATCTTACCCAGCATTATCCTATACACGTAAAACTTGTTGGGTTCAGAAATTATCCCATAATTCTTTTCGGCTTGAATTATTCGTTTTTGTCGAACAATTAAACCCTAGATTTTTTTTCATATGTTTTTAATTAATAAGAAAGCAAGATTTTTATTATCGACGTAGCAATAAATCAATTTTCCTTACTTACGTTACGTTTTCGCACTTGCTAAGAGTAACCACATGCTGGGCACTTTGGTAGAGTTAAATTATAATGATGATGCCAGAGAATCAGCTGGTGAACAATTAAAAAATTAAAAGTTCATAATCTATTTTACTCCCAAAATTAGTTATCAAAAAAAAAATGCATTAGCAAATAAGAAATTGACATGTACGATTTTTTCGAGGTGTATTTTGTCACGCGGATGCATATCATAAATACTTTTTTTTTAATGTATTAAATAGGGGTGACGGTTAATGCGGTGATACAGTACCAAAACAAGCGTACATATCCGATCAAAAAAAAAAAAATCGAGTTTTCCTCAATTTCTTCACTTCACCCTTTTGACTTTTGCTTTTATTTTTCCTCTCCCCTAACTTTTCATTTAATTTGTACCCATTAAAAAGAAAAAAAAAAAATACTTTCTTAATAATTATAATAATAATGCCAGATTACATTATTAATACACAAGCATATTTAAAAATCATCCTCCATGCTTGTAAATATCCGACTAGAACAGTAAATGGTATTCTTTTAGCGCAAAAACCTAATGAAAATGATTCATCTAATCAAATAACGATTTCCGATGTCGTGCCATTATTTCATAATTGGCATACTCTAACTCCAATGTTAGAGGTGGGTTTGCAACAGGTAATGAATTGTCAAAGAAATTTATTATTATTTTTCTTTTGAATTGATTCATTTATGAAACTCTGTGATTAATTTCGATTCGTAGATTGACATTTACGCAAATCAAAACAAATTGAACGTGGTGGGATATTATCACGCTAATGAGAGGATAGATGATAATAAATTACCGCCGTTTGGACAGAAAATTGCATCGAAAATTTTAGAAAAGTTTAATAACGCAATTGCTCTTGTCGTATGTAAATTAAACTACTTTGAAAAGATGATGTGAATTATTTTTTTCCTTTAATTGATGATTCTTTATTTTTTTTTAATTCAAAAAAAAAAAAAGGTTCAAAATACAAAATTATCACCGGAGAAACCCGAAATCGCAATTGTGGTAATTATTCACCCAGATGAATGAATATCTTCCGAGTCTTTTTTTTTTTTTTTTTTCCTACTTGACTACTTGACTAACCTTTCTCTTTTACTCTCAATCTAGCCATATTTGTTTAAAGAAAATCAATGGCGACCTGATAACAAGGCGTTTTCACAAATAAAAGACTCATGTAGTTTTACTCTGGATAACGTAGAGTCGCCCAAACTGGTTTCATCATCAATTCGCAATAAACATTTTGAACATTTATATGATTTCGACGAGCATCTTGAAAACATAGAATTAGATTGGTTGAATAATACTAAAGTAGTGGAATTGGCACTCGAACAAAACTCAAAAACTCAATAATAAATAAAAAAAAAAAATAATGTTTAATAATAATATATTTAAATGTTTGTATTTTTATATATATAATGTGTAATGTAATGACCTTTTTATGATCCCGAACGTTCATTTCTCATTCCATTGATGTTGACATTCGTGGTTGCAACATTTATAAAATATTGACATGGGTTCATCGGCCGAACGAGTTTGGATTTGCATAAAATACGCTCGCGGATGTTCACATTTTGGACAAGTTGCTAGCGATTAAAGAAATTATTTCAAGTAATGTTTCAATGACACGGAAAAAGCCGACGCAATCTTATAAACTTTACCATCGGTTGAATCAACATTTTTTCCATTCCTCTTCACCACCAAGGACATCATCAACTTCCTTTCGTTTTAAGTTTGTTCGATTCTTATACTAGAAGAGAAAAAGAAATAAGGTAAATCTTTTTTTTTGTTTTCTCGAAATAAAAAAAAAAAAAAGTTTGATACCGACCTCTCGACCGCTTATCGGAAAAACGTAAGGACAAGTTTGACAAAAAAATGATTGTTCACCCTGCGTATGATGTTGAATTAACAATAAATTTCCACAACAAGGACAGAACAACATTATGAAAGTGTTTCCCAAATCGTTAAAGATGAATTATTTATATATCCGATTAAAGTCACGTGAAACCGTCTGATTGGTCGAGGTCGCATATCATGATTAGGTTTTGACATTGTAAAGTCATCATATTGTGAAAATTTTTGAACATTCCAAACATACTTAAAATTTGAAAGATTTTTTTTTTTTTTAAAAAAAAATAAGGGGTTTAGCCAAGACGAAAACGAATAAAGAGAAAAAATGTGTTTCATAAGATTTGATTGTGATCCATGCAAGAAATCCGAATTTGGATGAAATTCGTCCCGAGATTACAAAGTTCGTCGAATAAAATCAAGATTATGTCGGCGTAATCGAAATTCTCGACTTTTGGTTTCACCGTTTCAGCCTAGATGAAAGGAATTCCCCAGAAACCAAAAAAAAAATTAACAAAAATGGGTTTAAAATGTGTACTATCAGTATTTAAAGATAAAAACAAATAAAAAAAAAAGAATAAATAATGATAAAATTTTAATTGTTTAAAAAAAAAAAAGCTGGGGAAATGATAAAATAGGGTCCACCCCAATTGAAATTTATTATGGAAAAACAATGATGGAACAAATTTGGGATGTGTTTTCCATCATGGGAAAATTTCAACATAACCCTACCCCTTGTAACCTAACCCTAACCCTAACCCTAACCTAACGTAAACCTAAAAAAATTGCAGTAATATGATGAACTCTTTTTTTCGAATCTTTCCAGAGCTTCGTTTGTTTAGCACCGAGAAATTCCAAAAAACCCTAGTTTGTTTGTTTGTTAACCCCATCCGGATTGTTTTAATTGATATTCAGTCAGATAATTATTTGGAAAGATTTTCATAAACAAGTTAAGCAATCCAAGGTTTCAAGCAAGAACGTAATTTATCAAAGATTGCGCACGGTGCTTTTGTATATCTTTTTCATTTGAAGTGTTCGTGCACACACAAACGTCCAGTCATGTTTTTTCGCAAGGATAAAAAGAGTCAATGCTACGGGTTTAGCATCTTCATTTGAATAGGAAAAAAAAAAAAAGTTCCCTACAGAAGGAGAAATTCAAAGGACCGCTTTCATAATTCTCAAGCTTCGCGAGCATGGTAACCCATCCAGCCTCTGATGTGGTTGACGTGGTTCGCAATGTCAAAACCTTATTCCATGTTCGTCCTTTCTTCACAGGGAAAAGGTAGATGATTTAAAGAATTGAAGGTTTGGTTTTATTCATAGGTTTATTTACTTTACTTTGATGTTGTGGTTATATTGATTTTTTAATATCGTGTTACCACGTGTTCCCAACACTTGTGTCGCGCGTCCTACCACGTGCTTCGTTCTTCTTATCAAACTTTATACGATAATTTATTATGTTATATAGTTTATACAACAAACAATGACCATGTACGTGATAATCTAGTTTTTTTTGTTTTGTTTCCTCCTTTCTAGATCAGATCATAAAACAAATTTTTTTTTTTTTTGAATATGGTGCCTTCGATTAAAATGATCTATGAAACGTCAATGAACCCTTTCTCACTCTCTTTTTTCTTTTTTCTTTTTCATTTTTCATTTTTTCTCTTCTATTTATGAAAGAGGTTATAAAAAGAATTTGAAATAATCAAAGTACAAATAAAGGTTGTTTAGAAGTTTAGAACCCCACAAAAAAAAATTTTTTTTACAATCAAAAGAGTGTGATAATCATGAAAAAAAATTTTTCTTTTTAAGAGATTGTCCAAAGGAAGACATACATTACCAATTATGTACTCATTAAATAGGAAAGATGTTGTACGGTATTGGATTCCCAAGCTCAATTTTCATTAGTTAAGGTGAAAAATGAACCCTTAATTATCCTAGTGACGGAAATAAACCAATTGGCCTGTTATAACCCTAAATAAGATTCTTTATTGAATTTTTCTTTTTGACCTACTCCCAAAATAGTCTCACTGGTGAATTCATGTTGCATATCCCCCATCCAATACCAAATAAACATTTCGTCAATTTTGAAACCATAAGTACTCCTTATCATAAATCGAAGTAAAATCAAGGATGAAAAATTTGTCGAACCCAAGATGTTACTTAATTAAGTTTCTTTCTCTAATTAGCCCATTTCATTTAATTTTTTTTTTTTTTGTTTGTTTTAAAAATAAACATGTGCGTGTAATTTACAGATTAACTTCGATCCGTCAAAATAAATGAAATGATAAGACCCTTACATTTGAAAGAAAGTTAAAAACATTAATATTAATAATCTATCTTTATATTTTGACACAACCCACCCCAACTAACGCTTACGTTCATGCCCGAGCACGGGAGTTCATTTTTGTTCTCTTTTTAATGAAAGAGGCAAGATTTCAATGAGTCCACTTATGGTCATATGATTGAGATTGATGTTGAATGAGTCGCTCTTTAGTCCCTTTAACCGTTTACATGATTTCGGATCCTTTTGCTTCTTCTTTTTCAAATTACGTGATTTCAGGCCAAGTTTAGTTTCTTTGATAAGAGATTTATCACGAATGACACCAAGCTATTGAGTTAGCCTAGAATCTCGGATCGACATGCTAGTCTAGGTTAAACAATTTTAGTAATTGATTGAAATCATTCACGTTTAAGAATTTAAAATAAATAATTTCTCTCTTTTTCGACAAACATAAATAATGAAATTACCTCCTTGGTTTCTTTTTTTCATTAGATCCATTCATTTTCAAGGCTTGAAACGTTTTCAATAAAAAAAGAAAAAGAAAAAAAAAAATAAAATAGATAAAATCCCCTTGAATTTCTTATCATCATGTACATATATATACATATATATATATAGTAATTTAAAATCGTTTTGTTTCCACATTCATCGGCCCTGTCCCCGGATTAGTGTGTACAACAAAACATCTCGATATGGCTTAGACAAGCCATTGGAACAAGGGATAAAAAAAATTGTACGAAACCATAATATCATGACAAAAAAAAATAATAATAATAATCACCTTCCAAATATGTTGTCATAAATCCTAAAAGCACAAGGATTGAATCAAAAATGAGACATTTATAAAAGATAAAAAGGAAAAAACTAAAACCATTACCAAACAACAATAAATATATATAAATATAAATTTATATATATTAATTATTTATTTATTTACACAAGTTTATTCATTTTTTTTTTTACTGAACTTTTTTAGTATTGTATTTCCTTTTGTATCTTATTATTTAATTTTTCTAAAAAGAAAAAAAATGAAACCCATCAGATTGGTTGTTGCTCTCTTTGTAAATATAGTACTACTAAACTTAACACAAGCATAAAATTCAAAAGATAATTAATAATTCAAATTGATAAATATTGATAAATATTAGAATAGATCATTTGATAAATCTTAAAACAAACTTGTACATGGGTTCGGAAACAATTTATCCATAATTTTTTTTGTAAAAGAAAGAAGTAAAGAACCCCATAAATAAAAAAATATTAAATAATCAACAAAAACGCGTAAAATCATTTACACAATAAACGTAAATACAATTGAATTAGAAATATTCTCACCTTTAAAAAGGTCTAATGTATGAAAAAAAAAGTCTATTGATATTACTTTTTCAGGATAAATTCAAATGATTAAAGTTCATTATTATATGGTACAAAGAAATAATGTTTAAATGATTTCAATCAAAAAAAAAAAAGAAAAGATAATAGCTGTATTGTTTAGGTTGTTGTATCATGCTCAAACAAATAAACAAAACCAACTTCCGTACGATGAATTTTTTATTTGGTTTAGTGACCTTTGATAGCTTTAGAAAGACGCGCAGCTAAATTGGAATACCCGAAGATTTTTCTTAGGATGTACGACAACAGAAAAAAAAAAATTTGATGTAATTTGGTGCATTTTTATGATTTCAAAGTTTTTTTATCTTTCACGATTGGTTGCCAAGCAAGATAAGGAAAAAAAAAAAAATAAATAAATAAATAAATCCTTTTAAGTTTAAAGGATATTTACCAAAATGGCATTACAAAAGCAGGGTGGATGACGTATTTTTTGTATTATTACATCGCTAAATCCATATTAGTCAACCTTTACTTTGTTATACTTGCGACAAATTAGAGTCGATGAAATCATTGCATTAGAAATGAATGTAATGTAGGTTTAGTACGTGTGTTTTTTTTTTTATGTTCTTTTGAATATTGATAATAAACTAATTTAATGTAATTAACGTAATTTTCCGATTGATCGGCAAACAATATAGGTGAATATTTATATAATCTGAATATGTAATACGATGATTAAGACTATTTTCATACATTCTTCTTAATCAACAAAAAAAGTAATTGGTAAAGAAACCCCTAATAATGGAAAGTTCTTCATAATGGATCCAATTAAATGATTCCATCATTTTATCATTTAATTATCTAAATTTATTTTCGGGGGATGATTTTTTATTGTCCCCTTTTCCTTTTTGGTTTGAAAAAAACGCCAATGCTTATTATCATGAATCGAAAACAATGAAAGTGTGGATTTTCTTTTCAATATATCCCAAGCTGAATCGTTAAATCAATCCCTTGTTTATATTTTACAACAAACAAAATATATATAATATATATATTTTTTTTTGATAATCATAGTTGCACAACAAGATCACGTTGAGTTTAAAAGATCAACGTTAATGAGAAAAAATTTTGTCAATTTTACACGACTAAATTTCATTCAATAATTTTGGATTGCATGCATGATACAGGTACTGTAATATCATATATATACATATATGTTTCAAATTTTATATAAAATAATTGTTGTTTAGGGAAAAATATACACAAATTTATACAATAACACAATCAAAAAAAATTAAGAATAAGAATAATAAATATGATTGAATTAAAAACCCACAACAAAGGATTAGGATAACAAAGAAAATAATTCACTCAAAACAGAATCATGAACCGAATTTATTTATCTTAAACGAAAAAAATTGGTTCAATGTAACACACTTATCCATTGATATGATCTGTGGAAGAAATGTAGCAAAATTATTTGATGATGATTGTAATAGGTGTAAAATGCATGCGGTTTTAGATCATCCCATGTTATATAACAATAAAACCAATTATCACGTGGAGATACATGACTTTTTCAAAAAAAAAAAAAAAAAAAAAAAAAAGGATGAAAAGTTGAAAATTATACAAACATTGAAACACAAGATAATAAGGGATTCTTCAAAAAAAGTGTGTTCAATCATAAATATTAAAACAGTCTTAATTTATTTGTTCTAGGTTAAACATTTTCTTATCTATGTCATCATTTATAATAAAGTTCATTTTTTTTGGTTTAGATGAACCTAAGACATAAAAATTTTCTCGAGAACCAGGTTATAGTTACAGTGACATTCATTCTAAATCTGGTTAAATGAGACCATAAATGGTACTCTTGTGGTGTGATATGATAAAGGTAAATGATCCTTTTTATTATTGAGATTTGTTAAATGAAATTGATCTCCGAATCTGTAATTCTTTGAATGTAATGAATATCAAAAAATTGTAAATCCCTAACAATCTCAAATGTATTTCTTATTATAAGTTTTCCGATCATACAAGTTAATTTAAATTTTTTTTTTTTTTACAATAGTATCATTACATTGCGAATATATTATATGTATGTTTTTTTTTTTTTTTTCTTTTTTATCCTATCAAATAATACATTAATAATTTAAAATACCCCAAATATATTACCTTTATTATTAAAACTCGTTTGTTAGGGGAGGGAGATAAAGTTTTAGGTTTAATTGGCAAAAAGGCATTTTTAATGGCTTTAGATAAATAATCTACACAAAAAATTTATATATAAAAAGGCCAGAATACCCTTTCTAATTCCTCATCACTTCTTAGTGAAGTGATGACCCTCTTCTACCACTTCTTCCTTCACATTCCTTTTGTTTTATTCTTAAAAGTTTTTAATGTGGTATGAATATATATATTTATTTATTTATTACATATTTATATTTGTATAAATAAATTATTATAATTATTATTATTATTATTACTATTTTATTTTTACTTTGTTTTATTAACAATTCCTTTTATTTTTGCTTGATATAGGTCGAATTAGGCTCAATCATATCGTATCATCAGTTATCTATAAGGAAAAAAAAAAAAACATGACGATTAAGCTTCACAGCTGATAAAATATTTTATAATATTTAAAATATTTTCACCGAATCCGAAATTTCGTAAAAATTTAAAATAATGCATTCTCGGCCGTATAACGTATAAATCGATATATATATATATATATATATATATTATATTTTTTTATTTTTTTTTTTATTTTCGATTACGATGTATTAGATTTATTATTATTTTTTTTTCGATTATTTAAGAAAAAAAAAAGAAAATCAACAACAACCACAAAAAAGAAAAAAAATTCATTCAAAATGAAATCGATTAGAAAATTCAATTCTCGTGAATTTTTTGATAGTACCGTATTCAAAAAAAAAATTTTTTATTTTTCAACCGTTCGAAAACAACTTATTTTGATCGACACTACAACTCTATTTTTTTCAATTTTCAATATTTCAATTTATATACGATAGAATTTTTTTGATCGTACCATATCGGAAAGCAATAAAAAATTGTTTACAAAAAAGTTTTCACAAAAAAATTCCTCATTGAACATTTCTTGAAAAGTGATTAATCCTAAAACAGTACTTTTTAGTTTCTTGTTATAAATATAATAAAGAAAGAATTTTCGAATTATCTACTGTTAAAAAGAATGTGAAAAAAAAAAACAATTTGATGTCGATATTACCGGCCCTAATTACTTTACATGACCGACCAAATGAAAGTGTTCGTCTACCTAATTACTATTATAACCAATGTATATATAAATTGATGTGCGAAGTTAATGTTAATTGGTTAATTATTATGACAAATGTGAGGAGGAAAATGGTAATTACATGACAAAATGGTTTAATAATGTGTGGGGATAATTTGTATTGCTATAACAATTATGAAAAGAAAATGTTATTAAGATGATAAATAATGAGTGTAATAAATAATGATGTAAAATTGAGTGACCAATTATCTTTGATATATACGTAATATGTTAGATATATGGTCATCCTTTTTAATAAAAAGAATTGACTATTATTATTATTATTATTATTATTATTTTAAAAAAATAAATAAATAAATAAATAAAAAAAATTTTTTTTAAAACAAAATAATAATAATAATAATAATCAAAGAATTTCTTTATGAAAAAAAAAGGTGTAAATGAAAGCCCAAAACGTAAGAATTTTTCAAAAATTCTTTTAACGCGTTGGTACTTTTTTGATGCGAAATCGGGATTTATAGAGTAAATTCTCGTTGATGAAAAGCTGACGCGTAAAGCTTTTTAACATAACGTATCTAGATAAAAATCGATCGGACGAGCGAGAACGAAAGAACTTTTTAAGTGCAATGTGTTGGTATATTAAATATACATATATATATATATATTTCTATTTCGATATTTTAACGGTTTAATATATAGGAATCGATAAATGAAACAATTTAATTTAACAACTGAACAGGTAACGATATTTTGAAAAGATTTATGAATTTTTCGTTTTTCATAATGCATACATAAATGATTAATCATTTGGCATAAATAAAGAATATATACGGTATATATATATAAATTTCTTCGAGGGAAGGTGATCTTATAAAAATGAAATGTTTAATGGAATTTCTTGAGACATAATATTTTTTTTTTTTATTTTTTATTTTTTTTTTGACCTTTTTTCTGGATTTGATCTCATCATATTTATAATGAATTTAAATTATTCCAAAGTTTGAAACACAGAATAAATCTCTCATGAAGGACATGATGTAATTTTTCTCCCACACATGAATCTTAAAAATAAATTTGCTCTTTTAATAAAATAAATAAAAGTAAACAAATAACGCAATATATATAAATAGAAAAAAAAATCATAAAAATCTTTTTTTGCTTCAAATACTTTTAATGCAATTCCATTTCCGGTAAATATTTTTTACTAAAAGTCCGGGATTTCTTCATGCGAAAAGTGAATAACGTATCGAAAGGAATACCATTTCACGGATTTTATTTGGTTGCCAAACACGAATCAATCCCGTACATTTTTTTTTTTGCGCTGAAAGTCATTCGACTTTTAGAAACTCCTCGATCTCAGAGTTGTGCTCATTCATGCTGAATGAACGTCATCGGTTTCACCACACTCTTGGATCAATAATCGTTACGATACAACATTTTAAGTCATCGGTCGAATCGGCGATGTTCGTTTCTTTTTTTTAAAAAAAAAGGGAAATAAAAATTAAATAAATAGGCGAGTGATCGAATGTTCAACCTTATCACAAATGCCGAATGTATAAACTCGAAAGTTAAATTAAAGTTGATGTCCCGATTTACACGTCAAGCCTTTTAAGCTATCAGTAGGATTCTAAAATCCGACAGGTCAACGATAAAGATAAAGGGTTACACATGCTCCTTCTAATCGATTCAAATAATGACACGCATTATAGTGTATTTTAAGGGTGTATGCAAGAAAAGGGGGAAACTGCATGAAAAAATCAATTTACCTTTTATATGCAAAATATGATTGTTAGATCAGATTTAGCATAAACTCATTTGTTATTTTCCTCCTTTTTCTATTGCCAAGGTCCCATATATTCGGTGTCAAGTAAAGTTTAACTTTTAAAGTAATCACTTGACGCTTTTTTATAAAACGTTTACTCATGCAAGACATTAAAACCATAATAACACTTATCGTCATGATGATATGATAGTTCGATTATGATCTGCGCGTAATTGCTTGGAACTTCTCTCGTCTAGAGTTTGTTCACTTTCGCGCTTTGCAATTTCCCACCAAAATTAAACTTTGACACGTGCTTGAATTATAAATAAATTGATTTGGCCAGGTCAGCCAAGATGAGAACATTAATAATTTGGTGTTACATTAAACACATCATGCTGTATTTTTCACGTGACGAATTTGACGAATTGTTGCTGCGTATACCTCGCATTTTGCCGATGCATGATTAATAATTATTATAAATATTATTATTGATATTTGGTTCATGTTACCCTTACTTTCTCACTAAGCGATTGGAGGCAGGACAATAAATAGTCGGCATCTCTTACCACCGATCCTCGAGCCGGATAGGTAAGATTTCTGGACATAATAAATCAATCCATCTTACACAAAACTCGCCAACCTGCCAACACCAAAACAAATCTCCGAATTTTACAATTACCGTCCGATTGAAGAATCGTCCGGAGATTACCCAATTTCATTTCAGTCATGGATCTACAGCTCAAAAAATCTCCGAAGTTTGCCTTTTTAATCGCTCATTGATTGTCGCGGAAAATCCTTTTCTTTATTTCGTAATACGTCCCGCGTCAATTAAGAATCAATTGTGTTTACTGTTTAAAGTAAATTTTTATCTAAATGCTATCATATATAAGGAAATGGTAATATCATTTGGGCTTCGTCAATAGACATGCATCGTATAACATAATAATAAATTATTAAGACGGTGCGTTGCTATTGACGGTGCCATATTTATTAAATTGTTAATTTCATATTATTAACGGGGTTTTTAACGAGAAACTTTTGTCCGTTTCCCTTATGCAAGCATTACGCGTTATCATGTAAATCGCGTGTAATTTGCGCTCCTCCTCTTAGAAATTAGAACAACATAATAAAATACGTACCATTATTAATCTCGTAACATAAATAACTTTCTTTTCATAAGCATGGTAAAACAAAAACAGTTTCTTTAATCGTTCAATTTGTATCTTTTGTGAACAACGTATCCTGAAACGAGATAAAACTTTTAAGCAATAAATGTATACAAATTAATGACATTGAGTAATACAAAAAAAAAAAAAGAAATCTAATTTAGGTCAAATTTCGATCAAGAAAATTTCTAAATAACAAGAAAAAAAAAAACGCCGATAATAATTACGTTACGATGCGTTTTTGTGTTTATCAAAATTCCTTTATTTGATGTTTCCCTGCACAAACAAAAATCCAAAAAGAGTAATATCTCATTATCTTGTATTACGGCTGATAAAAAATCTCACCACGAATCATAACTAAAGTAGCATTCAATATTAACCGACGTAATCTTTCGTCTCGCGTATTGAATGGCTTCAAGAGAAACGCCATGCTGTTGATTTTCCGGCGCCATTAAATCTAAATCTAACCTTTTAAGAGAATTCTTTAATTCGTCGCAAATGATGTATAGATGTTGATCAGTAAAGCTCCTGCATATCCACGCTGGAAATTTGAGACTTTCCAATGAGGCCTTAATATTTTCCAAAAAACTTTGTAAAATCTCTACATCAATTTCGATCGCATCTATACTAAGATGTTTTAACGATAAAGGCAAATTTAATGCAAACTCCGGTAGGTAACCGAAATCTTCACCCAAATCACAAGATAATTCATGTAGTTTGTGACACGAAGAAATAATCCTTGAAATGTCAAATGGTGAGATGCTCGTATCTTCAAAAACCAATTTAGTTAAATGATCAAACCATGGGACATTTTTCGCCGCGAAAACTTTATAATCCAATTCATCACAATCCTTAAATATTAACGAGTTTAATCCTTTACATTCTGAAATAAAATGAAGTGGTGAATCGGAACAATTGGTAAATGTTGTTGAAATCCCATGAGAATGAGAATTAAATTTTAAATGAATAAATTCTAATGATTTGATATGATCCGTGTGCGTTGATAATGTCGAAACAACTTTGGCCATGTTACAATATTTTCCGCAACAATTCAATTTAACGTGTTGAAGTGATTTTTGTTGCTTTATTAACTCACAGACGTTAATAAAGCTTTTATCATCAACCCATTCCACACTTGGTTCCCCAATACATTTTAATTCCAAGGATTCTAAACCTCCATTCTTTCCACAAATCCTTGTTAAATCCTTGGAAATCTCCTTCCATTGATCGATCAATAGGCTACATTTAAATCTCTTTAGATTCTTTAAAGAAATATTCGCTCCGGGAAATTTATTAATCAAAAAGTAATCCTCTGGAGGCTTAAAAGATTTATCGGAAAATGGTACGTAATATGATAACGTGAGGGTTGTTATTAAAGGACTTTTCTTTATAAACATTTTACAAAGTTCTCTCGTGAGAAGTAATTTTCGATACTCCCTTATCCGTTCAAGGATGCCTAATTCCGTCATACCTTCTAGTTGTAATAGTTGTTCTGGCCAAAGCCAAGATGAGCTAGATTCACATATAATATCATATCGCAGTTCACGCAAGAAGCTTGGGTAGTCAAATGTTGTGAGGGCCAGGTGCGATTTCCTTTTGATCCGAATTTCATGATCATGAAGGATTTTAATCGAAGTTTTCTCCATGCAAGAAATGTACACGTTAATTAAATTCTTTTGATCAACTTTCAATTTAATCTCTTCGTCTTTCTTTCTTCGTGAAGGTTGTTTACGTCTTGAACCTTTTTGCAGGTGATGAAAAGGATTACTCCATAATATTGGGGTAACGATTTTACACATTGATCTATTCACCATTAGGCATGACCATAACGTTTTCACATCTTCAACCGGTACATGTTTCAATATCTCTTGCCAACATTCGATGGGTAAATTCGATGAATTTGAAAGTTTTTTTGTTATCGTTGGCATAGTTAAAAAAAAGACAATTCCCTTTATTTTTCCAAGGACTTAATGCAACTAAAGGAGGTAACCAAAGAAAGGAAAAAAAAAAAAATAAAAGGTGCGAGAAAATTTGCGAAAAGAAAATATAATTTTTTTTTTTTTGTTTAAATAAAATAAAAATTGTGATCCTAATACAGATAATTCACATCAGTCATTTGACTAATAGGTTATTACGTAACCACGTGCAAAAAAAATACAATAATTTTTTAATGTATAATTTGGTATTTAAAATATCGGAACTTTAAGTGGAAATAAAGGTGTTAGAGAAATGATTAGCGCACTCCTTGAAGATCATAGTATAATGTGTTATTTAAGGGATAAAATTTGTTATTTTTTATCTCTATTAGAAAACTAAACGAGTAAACGAGTGAGGATTAATTTGTTTTACAATAAAATTTATCAATCACATTCATTTAATAAAAAGAACGTGTCATTATATCTTAAATATTAAGGTGTGAAAAACAAGGGGCAATTGTATCATTTTCACGTTTCACCGTATTATTGACAAAAAAAAACAATTTCCGAATTTAAATTCGGGACGTAAAAAACTACTCTGGGCAGATTTGGCCCGATGCTGATCATTTCTGCCAGCATTATAGACTGGAAATGATCTGAATGGATGACTAACCTTTTTGGGATACGTCGCGAGATAATTTTTGTCAAAGTTTTTATTGTAATTTTTCTCATTTTTTAACTCGTTTAATAAGAGAGGCTGACAACACGTTAACCTTATCCAAAGAATCATCAATCCCCGCAGATTTTCTTTTGGCGATAACTCCTCCTTGGGTTGACATTTCTTCGGGTTCGTTTTGTGGTCGTCCAACCACGAATTCTAAAACACCGTCATTAATTCCTTTTTGAGTACACGAATCATTAAATATTTTACACCATTGTTTACTTGCTTTCAAAGCAATTTCTTCGTTATAAAAATCTAAATCAAAGAAATTTTGTAAAATATCTGTAAATTCTTGTTCATCAAACACAATACCACCAACATTTGTCTTTAAATTCTTTAATAAAAGAGACTCATATCCTTCATCTTTTAAATCCTTTCCCACCAAACATTCAATTTTAACCCAAAAAAATCCCGCAACTTTTCCACAAGAAAATTCGCTACCAATACTAATCACCTCCCAAAATTCTTTAACCGTGGTATTATCAACCTCATCTTCATCATTATTGTCTAAATGATTTAACCATCTGGCTTTTGCATCATCGTCAAATTTTGGTATAACATCGTTAGCATTACTCTCATTATCGTAAGGATATCCGTAAATCCAATCTTTACCGTCCCTATTAATTGATTTTACTATTGATTCGGATATATTTCCAGGAACATAATACCATTTTTTTATGCCTTGCAAACTATTGTTTGTGGTTGAAAGTGTTTGTTCTAGAACCTTTTTCCACCACTTTAATAAATCCACATCATTTAACACATGTTTATTTGGATTGTCTGATGATTTAGTGAATAAATATTGCGGTTGAGACCTAGCGAATATGTGGATATTAACGCGTTTATTTCTTGGTTGCATGCTCTCTTCCAGATGATAATGAATATATGATGAAATTAACTGTTTTGTCGCACTACCATTTTTGATGTTTGTAGTAGAAGGTGTACATCCCGTAGTGTCAACCTTTGAAATATATATATTTAATGTTTCTTCTTTGATCATATAATACTCGTGTACCTCTAAACCTGTCATAAGTACTTCTTCTTGGGGCAAACCTTTCCTCTTTTCTGATAATAATAACAACATTCTACGTTCATAACTCCCACTATCTTGTGATTTGAAGAGTGGTTTCCTTGCAGGTGAAGTTGAAATGGCATATAATTTATAAATGTGATTTCCTAAAACCGTCTTTTTTAAGGAGTAACCAAGATAATCTAATAGACGCGTGGGTTTATCACCTTTTTTTTTAAAAAAAAAAAAGAGTTTAAAAAATGTGAAGCTGCAAATTGAAGATTTATACGGTAAGGTTACCTGGTGCACTTGCGAAAGATTGCGTTGAGCTGCTGCAGTCTTTAATTGTAGAGTCAACTTCCATTTTAAAAAGTGGATTTTGTATTTGTTATACGAGACGAAGTGGGGGGGTTTTTTATTTCAAACGTCTGTGTAACGGAACATCAACCACGTGCAATAAATTTTCAAAAAAAAATTGATCAGCAGTTAATCACGTGTCAAATACGAGTATGTTGTATAACTTTACGAAAATAGTAGAGAATCGATCAATAATTCAAAGACGGAAAAGTTTATGTTAATTGTAAGTTCTGATGGGCCCCATAATATTAAAACTTGTTTTATTGAATTGTACCAATCAACATTTTGCAAATTCTCAATTTTAAAAAAAACTTTGATTTTATTTATTTCGGGATGGAATAAAGTAAGGAATGCTAAGGTTAATCCGAATCTTTAGGCCAGAATTAAGATTTTTTGTTGATTACAATTGCAGTTGAGGATTTTAGTTCCAAACTTCCTGAATTGGTTATAAGTATAAAGTCCGGAGCGATCTTATCTAAAAAAAGTTTCGAGATTTTTGTGCAATCGACCCAATTATTGAGCGGCGGACTAGGAAACCATTGTTAAGTCCGGAGCACAAGTGTAACGAAAAGGATCAATCACGTATCGACTCAAATTTCAAAAAAAAAAAAAAATTTCATTCGGTAAATTTTTCTTTCAAATCATGGACGAATTATTCGCTTTACGAAATCTTTTTTATACAGGTTAAAAACAATTCTACTTTTAATCAAAAATACTGGTTGTCAAAAAGGTTATTACTAAACATTACGCCCAACCATATTTGTTTTTTTAGGATCCTTTCAACAAGTAATAAATGAAGCGAATTCACGAGCTAAAGTGTCAGAAGCAGCAAATTTGGAACGTAAAATATACTTATATAGAGCGTATGTAGCACAACAAAAGTATAATTTGGTTATATCCGAAATCAAAAGTTCCGATGAAATAGATTTACAAGTGGTTAAAATATTGGCAATTTACTTGCAAGCAAAACCTTCTGTTGGTAGCGTTGGAATAAATAATGGTAGTGGTGGAGAAAGTAAGAAAGAAGAAGCGTTAAAAGAACTTCGTGACGTAGTATTAAGTGATCCTACCAATTTGATTAATCCTACCGTACAAATTATTGCTGGATCCATTTTTTATCATGAAGGATTATATGAAGAAGCATTAAAAATTCTTGTTAGGCATAATAAGAATTTAGAATGGTAATTATAAATTTTGATTTTGTCAAACATCTTTTTTGAGAATTGATGATGTTAAAAATTTTTTTATTTAAAAAAAAAAAAATACAAAAATGATTATAAAAATAGTGTTGCTTTGATTATTCAAATTTATTTAAAATTGGATAGATTAGATCTTGCAAAAAGAGAACTGGCCTCTACCAAAACTTGGGCCGAAGATGCGATGTTGGCTCAGCTCATTGAAGCTTGGGTCGGTTTAAAAACGGTAGGTGTTTGAGATTCGAGACGCGTGTGATTTGTGTTCTTCAAAAGGTTAGGTTTTTTATTTTATTTTATTATTATTATCTCAGGGAGGAGATAAATATCAAGAAGCTTATTATATTTATGAAGAAATTGCTCAGTCTCCTTCTTCTAATACTGTAAAAATATTAAATGGCCAAGCCGTTTGTAATATTCATCTTGGAAAATATGTTGAAGCTGAATCTTTATTGCTTGAAGCTTTGAATAAAGTGAGTATTATAAAAGAACAATGTTTAAAAGTTTTTTTTTTTTATCTAACAGTTTCTTTTTAAAAAAATTGTCTATAGAGTAACGATGATCCAAATACTCTTGTAAACCTTATTGTAGTTTCTAATTTATTAAATAAACCTGCAGAAGTAGTTAATCGTTATATCAAGTAAGTTTTAACGAAATTAAAAACTTGGAACTTAATTTTTTTTTTTTTTTTTTCACAAATTAATGAACTTTTTTAAATTCGATTAGTCAATTAAAAGAAACGTCACCGAATCACGCATTCTTACAAGATCTTGATCTTAAAACCAGTCTATTTGATAGAGCAGCACAAAGGTTTGCTCTCGCTTAAAGTTAACAATAATTTAAAAATACATTTACATTGTAATTATTAAGAAGTCTAGATATAATTAATTATAAATGTTTTTGATCCAATATATAATATACATAAATATGTATATTTTATATTATTATTATTAATATTATTATTATTATTATCATCATCATTATATTATTCCTTTTTTTCGATATTATTTGTAGAAATAGGTATTGTATAATCATTACCAACATTTCTAACATTTAATCCACCCTCGACGCTAGAAACCACCTTTCTATTTCTAAATAAGAGATTCCATAAAATAGGAGTAACCATCAATGTTAAAGAAGTAGTTGTTAATAATAAATAATAAACTTCTCGTGATATAATACCAAACCCTTTTGCTTTACTCCCTAATACAAAAGCAAATTCACTAATTTGTGATAATCCAATTGCCATCGTGCTTGCTTTTTGCAAACTATGTCCAAGAAGTGTTAATGATATTGTACTTGTTATGAATTTAAATCCTACCGCCCCTGCTGTTAATGTGAAGAGCAACGGTCCCTCGTTTATCAAAAAGCTCGGATATACATGTAATCCTATGCATGCAAAAAATAAACACGAAAAAATATCTCGAACAGGTATAACTACGCTTTTTGATGATTCAAATATTGATTTACGATTATGAATAAGAACTCCTGCTACAAAACATCCAATTTCCACTCCAAGTCCCAACATTAATGATACTTGTGACATTAATAAACACATTGAAATTGATCCCAAGAGAAAAAGTTCATGATTCTCGGAACCTTTCACAACTTTTAGAAGCCATCCAATTGGTATATTTGCAATAGCGAGACTAAAAGTTGTGAAAACGATTAACGATAAAATTAAGCGTCCTATGGCCAAAACAACATCAATTCCTGATTTTGAAAGTGCTGGCAATGCTGCCTATATAAAGATATAAATAAATAAATATATATATATATATATATAGATATCAAAAAAAATGGACAAAACTTATAAAATAATTGTTTAATTTTTTTACCAATAAAACACCAAATAACACATCTTGCATGACAAGCAAGCCGTAAAGTGGTTTTAACTCTGAACATTGTAACCGTTCAACAACGGCTGTGCTCGAAAGAGATACGCATGCCCCTATGAAAATCGATTCATTAACACTCGCACCAACAATGAATCCTGCCAAGATAAAAAAACTAAGGGTTGCTGTGAATATCAATGAAGCACTTCCGAGGGCAAATCTCCAAATAGATCTTAGCTTTTCGAATGAAAATTCTAATCCCAACATGAATACAATAAATACAACACCAAATTGTGAAAGTGTTTCTGTTTGAATAAGTTCCTGAATCACATTATATCCAGCAGGTCCAAGTATTGCCCCAGCAATTATATATCCCAAAAATGCTAATTAATAAATAGATAGTTAGTAATAATTATAATCATCATCATAATAATAATGATTATTAATTATCATTCACCTGGTAATCCAAAACTATTAAAAGCCCAACCAAATATAAATGCTGCAACTATTAAAAAAATTAAATCTTGAACCAATCGAGCATCTATTTATAAAAAAAAAAAAAGTTAAATAATTAAATATTAGTATAATTAAACATTACAAATTTCTCTTTTTTCATTCTCACCTTCATAAAACATAGTCAAATCATTGGGTCTCGTTAGAACATATTCATTGTTGTCCGCATCCACAATTGTTATTACTTTAACGTGACCTCGACGACGAGGTTCCTCTTCATTATCCAAATCAAGTTGATCATGTTTATTATCACCCATATAATCATCTTCTTCCAATTTAATGACAGTTTCAAGAGATCCGCGCAAGTTGGAATTTCCACCAAAATTATGCCTATGCATATTTTCTTCTAATCTATCCGCGGAATCACTAACTCCGTGAAGTACGTTGTCAACTATTTCAGTCGCCATATTTTCTTTGGCACCATGAACTTTATGAAATAAACCAACAGTATCATTTTTATTGTGTTTTTGATATTGGTTCCATATTTGTTCCAGAAATGCCGTATCATTCATCTTTAATGCAGTATGATGAAATGCTGAAATTAATTTCAAAATAATTTTTTGAAAATTCGGTTGGGATAATGAATCATCATCAATATCATGTTCATCGATTATTTTATCAAAGATATCTAATAATCCAAAAGTTAAATTTTTAAGCGCATCAACACGCGATAGTTCTAACTTTATTTGTTCTCGTCTTTCAAGCTCAACAAGTTCAACTTTGACCTTTTCACGTAATGTTTCTATGTAGTTTTGATATTTGTTCTGATATTCTGTAGTGGTGCATATGTCATCAGCCCTTGACTATCAATAATAATAAAGATGATAATGTCAAAAATAAATCCAAAAAGGTTCATTCAATAATGTAGAGATAAAAAAGTTCTACCTGTATTTCATTTTTGCTGCCAGTTACAGAAATTGAGAAGTAAATTAAAAAAAGCAAGCTCAAAAATAGAATATTAATATACTTTGAGGTTATTGAAGGTAGCATTCCCGTTATGACTTTCACCAAGGAAAAAAAAAAAAAAAAAAGTATATATGATTATATTGCTTTTTAGAAAATAAAATTCGTTGAAATTCCGATTTAAATAATTTTTAATTTTGCAATGAACCCATTATCTAAATGGGGAATGTTACGCGAGAAAAAATTCAAGTTAAAAATGATTACCTAATCTAATTAACGATAATCTGATTTGCCAATAAATTTTTTGTTTTACATTATAAAGTTTTTTTTTCCCTTAGACTCCGATCTTTGGCAAAAAGATCGGGTGTCCAAGTATTTTAAATATAGACCGATCTTTGACTATTGGTCTAATTGGTCTAATGAGCTCTAAACCTTATATTTATAAATTTGTCATGATAAGATTAAAATAATAAATTAATATAATTAAATATATATTACACCAATAAAGTGTAGTGTATAAATAACTATTATTAGTTAAAAATTATCATGTTTCGTTTAGTCAAAAAAAAAATCGTGAACTGGCTAAAAATAATATTTAAATTCTATAAACTATAAACTGCTTAGGGCATTGTTCTAATCCATATTTTTGGGCCACATTAGATGGTGCATTTCATGTTTATTTTCGATTCATCGTCATATTACATTCAGGTATCCAAGGATCAGACAATCCGGATGGATTGTAACACATATCCTAGGCTTTGCAGATCGGTTCGGATGAACGTGGTATGTGTAATTTTCTTTTCTTAAAAAATTTTTTAATTTTACTTTCTCGCGATCAATTATATATTTTTCTGCACTTTTAATTTATCATTCTTCTTTATCTCAAGTTTTATCTTTCAAGTTGGGTCACTTCGCAATAAAGAGGATTTTCTTTCTTTGATCGGTTATTATAATTCCAGTGTTGGCAATAAACATATCCATTCACAAACAAAGGACATTTCCATTGTGTCCATTACAGTTTCCATTATCCATTGTTGTCTCATTGCGCATAAGTTTTTTTCCAAATGGCACATGCAGGAGGAAAAGCGCCTTCTATCAATTTTGCAATTGTCAAATTATACTTGCCTTGTTAACATGATTGGCGGAGTTTCTATTTAAAATTAACGAGTATCAATTTATCAATGTAGAGTCTATTCAAACGGTATATTATTTTATGTTATAAAAAATAAGAGAAAAAGTCAATTTAAAAGGCCCATAAAAAAGATTCAAAATCGTAAACTTTAAACTAATCCCTCCTTTCTTTTCTTTGCTTGTTCAATAAATGAAACTGGAACGACAAAATTGTTGCTCGTGTACAGTAAGTACTATAATAAAGAAACGTGTGGTTTAATGAAATCAAAAGGAGAATTTTCAGTCTTTGTGACTGTATCCATGATAGCTTTCGAACCATAAACTTCAAAACTTGTTGAAGGCTTCAAAACGTTCACATGTAGAACGAAAATAAAATATAAAGGAAAAGTAAAAAAAGGAAAGAAAACAAAAAAAATTATTACTTTTATTTATTTTTTGTCACTAGCTAAAGCAAGGAAAAATCACTGCTATAAAGTCCTTCTGGTACTCACCTTTACAATATATCTTCTATTCCTCCAAATTTGCCTTCCCAAAATGCCAATAATACCATCATCACCACCACTAAAAAAGGCTCCTCTACACTCAGGTCTCTAGTGTCAAGCAAAAAGAAGACCTTGAATAGCAGAAACAATTCCTCAGCTCCTGATTTTCAACCTATGAGATATCAGGTTAGGAATCAACTTCAAACACAAAGGACTGCAAATCCTACTGGAAAAATTATGGAAAGATCTTACCAAAAAGATTGTAGTTACTCACCATGATCAATTATGAAGATTTGCATATGAATTGCTCAAGACATGTTCTCATTCTATTTTACAAAACTTGTGATTCTCTTTAACAATTCAACAACTAACAAATATGAGCTATTTAAAGATATTCTTACTATCAACATCATCTTTATCTGCAGATTGCAAGAAAGTAGAGCAGCCAAATAAAAAAAAAGAAAGTATTAATAGTGAGAAAAAACAAAAAAAAAAAAAGGATAAAATGTGAATAGATGTTAAAAGTGAAATCATATCTGAATTTTACACAAAAATGTATAATGAAATGATAGATGAAACTAATGAGATTGACCTATAATATAATCATTAACTATCTGCAGAGTATACAGTTTTTGATTGTGCATGTAGATAAAAATGTGATTAAATGTAAGAAGATGATAAATTTTCTAAAAATAAAATTTATGAAAAGGATCACATATTTAAAATTAAAAAATAAAAAAGTCTATGATAATATACTAAATAACTTAATTAATAAAACTGTAAATAAAACTATTAAAATTTATAAGATAACAAAATCAGGTTAAATTTCAAAATCAAAAAAGACTTAAAGTATATCATCACTATATATGCATAAAATTTTTCAAAAAAAATATTAAAATAAATTTAAATATTATATCTATTTAAAGATTCTGATTTTATGAAAAAACTAAAAAAGAAACTATATGATCTCATAGAAAGATCAAAAGATCTGAAAGCTTTGCATTTCAAGACTAAGAAAAAAATAATAATTAGTTATTAAAAAAAATTAATAATGATTGCAAATTTATATACTTTAGAAAAATTAATAAATAAATTTTATTGTAGATACATAAAAAACAAAAAATTTAAAAAAATATATGAGAAATTTGTGACTATTAATCTAGAAGTTCAAATTTTATTTGTGATTTACTTACTTACAAAAGAAATTACAAAATTTGATAAGAATGATTTACAGATGTTAATAAAATTTTTACTTGTATGTATACAAACTAAGTTCAGTAAGAAATAAGCTTAAGAGCTTAAGTTTTAAAAGAAAAAAAAAAAAAGGTTTAGAGAATTAATAAAGTAATTTCAAGAATTTTTAAAAGGATCAAGAATCTTAAAAATAAATTATATAAGAAAACTATGAATTATCTTACAAAAAATTATGATATTATTATTATACTTAAATTCAATATTTCAAATATAATAAAAATAAGAAAGATCAATTCAAAAACTATGCAAAGTATGTTAATATAGTCATATTACTCATTCTGACAACAGCTAAAACACATAATCAATAAGACTGATATAAAATAATTATACAAAATGAAGCATATACTTCAAAAATATATTCTATTATGAAAATATATAGAATATAAAAGAGAAAAAGTTTACAAGTGCAAAAATATAAATAAAATACAGTAGATATTTTTTATATATTACTTGATAGAACTATATATATATATATATAGAAATTAGTAATCATACTTAGCAAAGCCTAGTATAAATTATTAATAATATGTTACAATTTATCTAAAGTTTAGAATTAATTTGTCTAATATATTAATAATTAAAATGTATATTTTAAATATTCTAAATCAGAATATAATTAAAATATCAATATAATATCTATTTTGAAAACTCTCAGATATTATAAATGTTTGTGAGTTCTTTTTAAAAAAAGTAATTTTCTTTTTACAACTTTAATATTTTACTCATTTTTGATCATATTCAAGTAATTGATTCATTTCTGACAAATCTTCATATTATTAAAATAAGCATCTTTATATAATAAAATCTGTATTAGAATTGATATATCTAATATGAAATATAATTATTTCAAATCATTTATTATCATTATTTAGCATTATCTTTACTTTTTAAAATCCAAAAATAAAGTCAAATTAATATATAAAAATTTATAATCTAAATAGATATATCAAGTTAAATAAATTAGACTATGAGTAAGCAAATTATAATTAGTCATATAAGAATTTTGTAGATACTTGATCAAATGAAATTTACTTAATAACTGGATTAAATAAATATTATAAAATTAAAAGATTAAAAAAAGATATTATATAATTTAAGATAGATAGTAGTAGTGAACAAATTAAATTAATAATATAAATATCTTAAGTTTTTAATGCAGATAATTTACCAGGTAATTTAAATAAATTTCTCTAATAAATGTAATGTAAGTCTTCAATAATATCAATTATTAAAATTAATAAATTACTTTTGATTATATAAAATTTATTTTAATATCTTTTTAATAAATAAAAATAAAAATATTTGGAATAACCAACTAAAATTTTTAATTATTCATTAAAGATTACAAATAAATTGAGATTTATTTTAAAAAATAATAAGAATATTAAATCAATATTTTATTAAAATTAAAATCAGTTTTATACAAAATTTTAGAATTATCATGCACTTTTCTTAATTCTAAATTTAGAATTAAGCTAAGTTTTATATTCTTTTTATTATTAATATTACTAAATATTTTTAACGTTTTAATTTTTAATAAATAAATCTCTATCAAAAGTAAGCATATCAAACTCTATCATATTATTAAGATTATAATAAATAAGTCTATTTCAAATAATCAGAGCAAATCTCTTGCTAAAAATTGAAATATAAAGGATATTTTTTTCATATTACTACTTTTAGCAATAGTTATAATTTTTTATCTTTATAGATGAGGGACGAAACCTCTTAATAACAATCGAAACTTAGATGAAACTATATTAAAATCATAATAAGAGATACGACAAAATTCATTCGATATGACAAAAGCCAAAACTGTCAAAATTATATTAAAAACATAGAAAAGGGTATGACAAAATTATTTTGAGGAGGTTTCGACAGGCATCTATATTTATCTTATTTAAAAATATTTCTAAATAAGTATCATCTCTAAAGATGTAATAAAATAAATTTTTTATTTGACATTTTTAATATTTAATTAACCAATATTAAATTATACTGCTATTTATATAAAATAAAAAACTTTCTTTCTTTACATATTAATCCACTTTAACAAAATAAGCATTAATCTAAAAAATAATATAAATTTAACAAATATATTATAAATATGATCATAAAACTTTTAGATAGAGAACTTATTAACTTATGCAAAATAATAAAGTTGAAAAAATATCTTAAAATTCCTATTAATACTTTAATGAAAGAAGCAACTAAAATTAA